CTCCCATCCACACTCGTCTTGTATACTTGTTTCGTCTATCTCCTTTCGTTCATCCTCTCTATATGTCCAAACCATCTCAACATACCTTTCTCAATCCTTGACACTACATCTTCTTTCACTCCACAACGTTCCCTAAAATTAACTTAATAAACTTTACTTAAAGTTTTAAGTGAACTTCGCACTGTATGTGCGTGCCCGCATGTGGTATTTTGTGGAAGAGCCACACTCAAGGGGCCAAAGAGCCGCCTGTGGCTCCCGAGCCGTGGTTTGCTGACCACTGCCCTAGGCTGGCAGGCGGACATCCCCTGAGGGGCCCCAAACTGTGAGAGGGTGCAGGCCAGGCTGAGAGACTCCCCCCTAAGTGCACGAATTTCATGCACTGGGCCTGTAGTGTAACATAATTATGGAAGTGACTATCCCATGATTTTCCAGGACCACCAACAGTCAAGGGGAGGGGATTGTATAGGGTGTGAATGAATATCAGGTGGTGGGAATTTTAGGTGAATTCCTAGAATTTTGCCTACAGCAGGGTTAAAGTGTCATGCTTGGATCAGCCAGGATCCTTGGCCACCCTGCAAGCTCACAGAGTTCCATCACTTTCTGCTCACCTGTAAAAAGAGACAAAAGAGTACCACTAATTTATCCAGGTTAAAATATTTAAGAAAGGATGTTTTTATGTTGGTCATTAATTTTTTTTCTCTGATTTTTCAAGGTGTAAGGATAATGGATCTACTCCTTTGGATATAAAGCCCTTGTAGTCAGTCAGGGCTTAGCTCTGTCTCTCTATCCCTGTCCCTTCATCCAAGATACTTTCTTCATCAAGGTTTCTTAGTAAAAGTTAGTGAGCTGAAATTATTCAGTATGTTAAAGATGCTGATAATCTCATGTAGAAATAAGTTCCATCCATCCCAGCACACTTGTTAACAAATCTACCAGGAAAGCCATAAACTTAATGGACCAGAGCTCTGAATTACTTCACAACCACCCCCACCCCGGAGATGAAGATCTATTTCTCAACATGACATCTGCATTTTAGTCCATACCAATGATATAGATAAATCCAATTTTTAATCTTAGACTCTGAAGTACAGCCAATAACACTTTATTAAACATACCATTTTCACTCAAAGTAAATCAATTTGGATTGAATTGGACAATTAAATCTTTTCATAAAAGAGCTATTGTAATAACTACTTTGCATATTGTATGAATGATTATGCTACAAAGATCATACCACAAGTATTCAGGAATTTTTACCTTGTAGAAAAGGTCTATCTTAGTTACAGAACAAAAGCCAGTCTTTTTGGCATCACATTTAAGAAACCAAATACAAATGAAAAAAAAAATGCTGCTAATCCATCTTTTATTTTCTTTCTCTTATAACTTATGCCAGCAAAATAGAGCTTTGGAATTCCATAGCAACAGTGGCTTTCCATTAAGTAGTGTTAGAAATATGACTGACTTTAATTACATATCAGCTTATGAAAATGTTACTTTTGTGAGAAAATTTTGAGTAAAATGTCTTCTTTGAAAGACGTTATTAAAAAAGAACTGTAAGAACAAGAAACACAAGACAATAAAAGACAAAAAACACAGTATCATTAATTTATACAAGTTATAAGATTTAAGGAAGAATATTTTTATGTTGGTCTTTAATTTTGAAGTTCTGTT